TTATACAACTGTGCCTTTTCAACACTTTATCAATCATCATGTCTCTCTATTCCATTCTTTCTTGGTGCTCCTAGTTTTTAAATTACTTGTGAAAAAGATCTTCTTTCCCAAATCTCGTCAAGTTTATTATTACTGATCAGAGTTGTTTTTAGACTTACTACTGTCTTCCTCTTTTTCCTGCTTTTCGGTGGTGGTTTTTGTGTTTATCCCTTCTCCTTCTTCCTTCCTCCTCCTTGTGGATTCCCCCTTCAATCTATATCTACTTGTGTCTGCTCATCAAGCATGTAAGTGGCCTAGAGACCTAGGTATTGAGAATTAAAAGACTGTTAAGATATTGATCCTGGCCCTGGATGATTAGTAATCCAAGTGGGAAAAAAAATGGGGCACAGCAACAGCTGTGCAGTTAAAGTGCAGTGTCTGCCCTGTTGCCCTCTAGGCATATCCAGTGAGTTGCTGACACATTTCCAACCCAGGGCTGCACTTTGCGCTCATCACTATCCCGCCCCGTTCCCCGCTGCTCCTCCTGCCAGGCGTCCCATCTGAGCGAAGAGCGCCACCATCCACGCAGGTGACCAAGGAGCCCTTCTCGATTTCTCCTTTTTCCTCTTAGCCAATCAGTCACCAGATCTTGTCCATTTTCTCTCGTCATCACTGGACTCTGTGTGCCCCCATCTCCCCTGTCACCACTCCTGCTATCTTTCTCTCACTGCCGCAATGGCCTCCCGACTGGTTTTTCTGCATACCCCTTTCGTTTTCCTACAGTTCATTCTTTTCACAGAAGTCAAGGTCAAAATTTCAAAGTCTGATCAAAACACTTGCTTACTCAACATTCTTCAGTAGCCCTCTTTGCCTCCAGGGTGGAGGCCCAACTCGAGCTCTGGCTTTGGGACCCTCTCCAGCCTCCTGACTCATGGTCTCCCCTCCCTTTTCACTATAACCCTGTGCAACTGCACGTGGGTCCTGAACAGAATGCGAGAGTGACTCTCTTTGCGCTATTCCTCTTCTTCATTCACGCCCGTGCACAATTCCCATCTGCCAGTGGCCTGTTCACAGGAATATCCCTGACCTCAAGAAAGGATATGTACCCTAACTTTCCTGTGCTTTTGTGTGTTAGTCCTTACATAATAATGGCCTATTTTATTTCTCTACCACTCCTTACCCTAAGCCTAAACACAGTTATGCCTGGTATAGCTCCGTGTGCAATGTAACAACATGGTGGGTCTAGATCATTTAATAGATGCAGCCAATATTGTTTAATGTCTTAGAATTTTTGGCTCCAGAATCAGAAGGCCTGAATTTGTTTCCTGGCTTTACTGTTTATGAATTATAATCACTTTGGGCAAGTTACTTATTTGTTTTTAGTCGCAGATCCCTCATATTGAATGTGGTTAATAATAATACCTACCTCATAGGATTGTTATGAGTCTTCATGAAATAATACAGTTGACCCTTGAACACCAGGGGTTTGAACTGTGTGGGTCCTTGTATATGCAGTTTTTTTTTTTTCAATAACTATATAGTTGATTCAATTTTCACATCTCTGGGTTCAACCACTATTTTAGATCTGTGTTTGGGAATCCTTGGATGTGGAGGATTGATTTGTTATATGTGGGTTTTCAACCAGTGGGGTTTTATAACAGGGTGCTAAACTAAAGGTCCCCCCTAAAATGGAGAAAAGCCCCATAGCTATCGCTTGGGGAATGAAGGAAGGGAGCAGGGCCATTGAGAGCTACTTTGCATATCTGAAGGACTTGGCCAGTATTTTAATAATATTAAAACCTGTGTCTCTGTGGAGCCAGGGGGATGGGCATGACTCTAGCCCATGATGCATTGTAGCTGGAGGGGCTTCCTATACCTGTGAGAGTGGCTAGGAGGCTTGGAGGCAGCTTCCGCATCACAGGGCCATGCTTGCCCAGGCTAACCGTGGCAACCAAGAAAAGCCAAAGAAACCAGACTGCTGGCAGATGTAACCCAGTGTGGGAGGAGTTGGAAATGGAAATGAGGATCCAGTCTGGGATTTAAACAAAAGGCGGGGCCACGATGTGGGGTGGAGACAGTGTGGAAACCTTGTAGGACCAAGTGGGTGAAAAGGGGGTTGCAAGGGCTCTCACCAGTCAGCCACGAGAAGGTGCCACGTGGTTTTGGATTAAGAACTGGAAATCGTGGCGACACAGCTGATGGTGCTGGGAACCGCGGGAGACCTGCCCAGCTGAGCACGGATCACTGGGAGGAACTGGGAGAAGAGAGCTGCAGACTTCTGTTTGTTTTCTTCTGGAAGGCGGTATGTCTGACTGGCATGCTCTGAGGCTGGCCTGACTGGGCAAAAGGGGGCAGGAAGGACTGTGTGTTTGTAGGTGTATCTTTGCTTCTGAAGGAGGAAAAATTTAACGGCAGAATTTCACCATTATTCTAAACCTGTACAACTTTTAAATAAATAATTCCTTTCCTTTTTACCAAACTCTGGCACTGAACTCCTAATATGGCGGTGGGCATAAAGAACCTAAGTAACAAGACCCCTGGGACTGTGGGGGTGGTTTTCTGTAACAGTTTCAGCACCCCAGCCCCTCATCCCCCGTCGTTCAAGAGTTAACTATATATGGGAATTATTGAGCATCATCCCCCGGGCACAGCAAGCACATTTTCCATTTCCTTGCCATGGAGGGGTAAGTACTGTAATAGTACCAGGTGTGAGCTCAGGCTCAGCCTGGGTGGAGAAAGGCAGAGAAGGTATGTCTCAGTCTGTAAGGATTGTTTTTAGAAAAATTCAAGACTGACCATCCCTGGTCTCTTTCTGGTGTCCTGCCTGGCTGGCTGAATTCCCCAAACTTTCCTGCTGCCTGTGTCCCTCCAGGGCTCAGAAAGGGATCCGTGGGTCCCTCTCCTGATGACTTCCTCTAATGCCCAAAGGGCACTCAAAAGATAATGGAATTAACTAGTTAAGGAGAGCAGTGAGGGGGGTGGAAGCAATTGCAGAGAGAGGCTCTCATGGTAGAAGTGACATTTGACTTTGATGTTTGAGAATGTAAAGGAGTTTGTCAGGCTGAAAGATGGAAACTTGTATGAGCGTGAGCACAAGGACTTTCAAATCTGTCCTATGTAGTTTATGTTTTGTTATTTTGAAGTTTACAAAGAGAGGTGGCAGGGTCAGATTGGAGTTTCAGAGAGCTAATTCTGGAGGTGGTATGGAGGTGCTTTGGAAGGAGATTGTCAGAGGCAGGGAGACCAGTTAGGGAGCTGTTACCATAGTTGTGAGAGATTTTGAGGGGCCTGATCTGAGTTGGTGGGAAGGGGATAGATCTGAAGTAGTATGCCTGGGACCAATTGGGCAACGATGGTGGGGTAAGGCTAGAGTCTGGACTGTTTTGAGGGATCTCACTTGTCTGCTGGGGGATATGACGATCACATTTTTCTGATAAAGGACTCAAAGAAAGAAGAGCTAGACTTGGAGGGAGGTTGATGAATTTTGACATGTGGAGATGAAGTGCCTACAGAGCACTCAGGTGAGAAGTCCATAGGCTTATAGGGATCTGCAGTCAGGAGAAAAGTTTGAGGCTGCTTGGGAAGGGCCCAGGTATCAAACTAGCCCAACAGGTAGAAAAGGACCGCTTCAGTTGGACCCTCAACTTGTCCCTTGGACCTGAGCCTCCAAGTCTCTTTATGCTTGGCTTTGGCTTGTTCTTGTTGGTTATCTGCCCAGGCCTGGAGTTTTACCCTGCATGTCTCCGTGGTAGATGGTGCCTTGCTTCCCTATTCACCTTCTCAGTGCTTGCTGCTGTTGTGGATTTTGGAATGTTGCCTCTCCACCCTTTAGAGAGGCCAGGTGACAGATGCTGCGATTTCCTGTTGCTGCTGGTCATTCTGAACTGTATTGCCTTTGTCTATGGAGATCCTCTCGGAAGCTGTGGTCTGTCTGCACAAAGAATCCCCTGGCCTCCCCTATGGGACATTTCACCCAGTACCTTACAAGCCAGTCTTCATAGCTGGCACTTGCCTTCCCTTGTCTTGAAATATCTGAAAACGATTCGACTTTAAATAAGCAAATATGTAAACATGTCCAGAGCTCTCAGTAGTAAGGCAGGTTGAAGGTTTGCTGCCACCCTTTAAAGACGAGAAGGTGGCCTTGAGAGCTGCAACTTCTTCGCTTTCGGAAGGCAGACAGGTGGGACGTCTCAATAAATCAAACATGTTGGTGTTGCCCCCACGTGGCACAAAGGAGATTAGGTTCTTACTATGACTTCCTATGGAGGTGGTATTAAAAAAAAAAAAAAAGACATGAGCAAGGTATTGGATCTATAATCGGAAGAACTCATATCTATAATTATTTTGGATTTGGCAGAGAGAAAATACTGTTGCCCCCACCAAAGCGCATATACTCATGCCCTGCCCCCTGGTGCTCCCTTAGGTTTTTAAGCCTAGAGTGGAATCTGGATGGGATGGCCAACTTCAATCTTAGCGTCACGGACACAGTAGAACTACCTTTACCTTTCCTTCTCATGTGACTGTGCTCTTCTGAGTAGTGTCCCGAGCCCTTTCTTTTCCTTGCTTTCTCGGGTGGTTAACTTCTGGAAGACTAAGCAGTAGACTGGGAGACAGAAGGGTTCACATTCTACTCCTAGTTCAGCCACAACAAAGTTTTAGGTGACCTTGGGCAAGTCCTGTGACCTTACTGATTCCTATTTTTCCCATCCATACATAAGGCAAGTAATTGAAACACCTGGGCAAGGTATTTTACCTCTTAATAAGATAGGTCACCCTGTCCATTTCAGTCCATCCTGCTTTCCTTTCCACATTTCTGAGGGAAATCCAGGGCTTGACCACAGCTCATACTCTCCTGCTGTGTAAGAAGATCCACCCTCCCGCTCCGCCTCCTTATACCTTATGGTCCAGGGGTAGGCTTGTGACCCTAGAGCAAATGCTGCATAAGCTGGTGCTGTGGTCAGGCTTAGAGACATTGAACTGGATTCATCTCTCTCTCTCTCTCTTTCTCTCTCTCTCTGCAGGGGATTTGAACAAAGGAAGCCAAGAGGAATTTTTCAGTTAACAATAAGGATGGAAGAGATTCTAGCCTCCAATAAGGCTTGACTGAACTTCTCTGCCCTTGGATATTCTTTAAGACTTAATGCTCCATCCATCCAATAATCTTGCTCTACCTGGACATAGAATTTTAAGTAGGCTACTGGAATGGGAAGATGAAGTTTCTCTTCAGAATTTCTAATATTTAGTGGGAGAAACAGACAAGGAATCCACCTTTAACCTCTCCCCACTTTAGGGCCATCTTTAGAGGAGGAGGGAATTAGTCTCATATCTTCTCCTGAGTTGCCCACACTGCAGCTGTCTTCTGTATGGTGTGTTCAGAGTTCAAATCCCAGAACTGCCCCTCACTAGCTGTGTGATATCGAACAAATTACTTAACCTCTCTAGATCTCAGATTTTATGTCTGAAAGATAGGGATAAAATAATCATATGTATCTCATAGTATTATTGTGAGATAATATAAGCACTAGGCTTTGCTTTATTCCTTAATTCCTGGTTCATAAATATGAATAAACACCTGAGGGGAAAAAAGATCACTCTTCCTCACCTCTCTACTGCTTCAGTGCATGTTTTGTAATTGTAGCCATCAAATGACTTGGAATGGAAACAGGAACAGCGCAAAAGGGAGCATGCCCAAATTATCTCATCATATCTGTAACAGGAACAGACGCAGTGTTTTCTTTCTTTGGCTCTTGGCCTAGTTTCTCACTCCTCAGTTTGTATTTTGTGTGTGTATTCATTACTATGTAAGTATGCATACGTATGTGTTGATTTCAGCTTCTATAAGATAGCCACCAGCTGCTAATTCCACCTTTGCTCAAGGAGGAGAAACATCCCGAAAAGTCAGGTAGGGAACTTCGGAGGGAGGAAGACTGGTTCCGGTGTGATACATTCCTGACCCTGACAGCTTTTAGTCTTTACTGTCTTGAGAGAGAAAAAATGTGAATAAATAATAAATAAAATTCACATTAACCTGAGAATTACCTCTGTTTTTTGAAAGGAAAGAAAATGAAGAGTTGCACTGGCAGATCTATTTCAAGATGATTTAACAGGTGAGAGGGAGTTGCTCTGATTTTTTTATGTCTCAGTCTATTAGGTCCTGTGCAATGCGACAGATCCATTCTAATTTATATAGTTGTTCAGCAAAACTTTTGTGGGTTTTTAAATTGACTGTAATGTTTAGCAATTGGAATATAAATTTATTCAGGCCTCTTATTTGGTCGCCTCAATGGCACATTACAAAGTATTTTATAGTGTCTGATCTCCTTAAATTTTACAACCAGATTCTGTTGTTCTGCACTTTTTACAGCTGGTGCTGAGAGGGGGGCTCGCTGTCTCTGCCTCTTGTTGGCCCCCAGGCTGCTCCCAGGGGCTGGGCAGGGCCTCCCCAGGTGAGCCGAAGATGTCAACACTCTTCTTTTTTTATGTCCCCTTTTCTGAGGTTCCCACCAACTCTCTGTGGTCTGAAGAGACCACAAACAAATGCTAGTTTGATATAATCCCAGTTGGGACTCTGCCTCATCCTAGCTGTGATAAGTTATACCAAATGCTCAAGCTTCTTTCTTCTATTATTACCAACCTTCTTGCATAGAACATTACAGCCCGCCTTCACTTTCATACCAGCAGTTTTTCCCTTTGTGTTCTGGCTTCTACAGATACCCCACTGCAGAAACTACTTCCCCAAAGGTTCACAGTGGCCTTTGGCTGTCAGGCTCAAGTGCCTCCGTGTCCTCTGTATCTGCAGCATTTGAATACACTTCTTCCTTGATACATTGCCCCCTGATCAACTTGACATAACTGTTATGTCTCTTCTTTTACTCATCCTCTAGACTATTGGTCTTCCCATGTATTCCTGCGAACAGCCAGTCTTCCCCATCCTACATGGTGGCCCACACAGACCACATATTTGAAGCCTTCCCTGTACTTTTTTTTAAAAAATCTCCACTCACTTCCTCTTCTGAGTGTCCCCACATGTATATTTTTAATGCTGTGCAATGCATTTTACTTTACACTAATGTATATAGATACTAGTTGGTCTCCTCTTTCCCCATGACTGGAAAATCTTGGAGGGCAGGAGGGCAGGGACTGTGACTGATGCAGCTATGAAATTCCCATGGTGCCTGGCACACAATAGATTCACAGCAAGTTAGCCAACTGTGGGGTTTTTTTGTTTGTTTTTGGTTTTTGTTGTTTGTTTGTTTTTTTTTGAGATGAGAGGAAAGGGAACTTTTGGAAGCTGAAGAAAAGGTAAGAGTGGTGTGAGACAAGGTTGAAGAGATGGGAAATGGCCAGAGGAAAAAGGGAAATTTATAAGTCTCTGAGGATTCTGACTTTTACCCAAAGAACTGTAATCAATAGAGGATTTCAAATGGTAAAGTTGGCATTTAAAACCTCTCCCTTCCACAACTATAGTGTAAAGACGAGAATGGAGAAGGGCGGACAAAAGGTAATGTGTCTTAGATTGATGAGGCCAGTGGAGAAATAAGGGGAAGAGATTTAAAAAAAGTCTAGTAGGTAGAATGGACAGGAATCACAATTGATTGGATGTGAGGGAAAAAGGTGAGAAAAGTGTGAGAGTGCTTGCTAATTTCTGACTTAAATACCTGGTGCATGGGGGCACAAATTTCATAGCAGAGACTGTTGAAGAAGTAGGGTCATTTGTGTGGGTGGCAGGTGGTGGGAGGAGGAGTAATTCAGTCTGGTGTACGTTGAGTTTAAGGTACCTATGAGACATCTAGGTGGAAATGTTTGTGGGCCTAAAGCTCTGGAACACTGGGGATGTGGAGATGACCCCTGGATCCTTGGGACTGGATAGAGCACTGAAGAGGATGTAGCATCAGAAAAGAAGGGGGCCTTAGACAGAGCCTGGAAAATTCTGGTATCTATAGTTTGTGTAGGGAAATCACAGTCAGTCAGGAACACTGAGGAAGAGTTTGGTGTTACTGAGCCTGAGGGACAGCAGTGTTTCTAAAGATTGCCTGGAGCACAAGCTGATGAGCAGCCCAGTGGTAAGGAACTTGGAGTGTTCACGGAGGTCAGAGGCCATGCCCACGGTACTGACGGGAACGCTCTGGGAGCAGTCCAACTGGAATGGGTGAGAAGTAAGTGGACAAGGAGGAAAGGAGGACTTGGGTTCTAGAAAGCTCCATGAGTTTTGCAACAAAGAGGGAGAGGTTGAGGAATTCCAGGGACATATGGGGTGTGGGGGGATATTTTGGTTTTGTTTACTAATACTCATTTTTAATATAGAAGGGACTGGAACATGTTTCAATGTGGGAACAAAAGGGGCCTGAAAAGAGGGGGAAGACCAATATTCACAAATCAGACTAACGGCTGGCCTTCCATTGAAGGAGAGAAGCCTCTCCTTTGTGATGCAAAAGAGGGCATGATGAGTACTGTGCAGGGATCTGTGACATCAGTAAGTCAAGACATCTGGTAGAAAGGCTTTACTTTTTTTTTTTAAGTATATTTTATTGATTATGCTACCATAGTTGTCCCATTTTTTTCTCCCCTTTTTCTCCCCCTGGCCCTACCTTAGTTCATGTCTCAGTTTTTTATGTCTCAGTCTATTAGGTCCTGTGCAATGCGTTGTACATATAAGTTCTTTTGGCTTGTCCATTTCCTATACTATTCTTAACCTCCCCCTGTCTATTTTGTACCTACCAGTTATGCTTCTTATTCCCTGTACCTTTTCCCCATTCTCTCCTTCCCCTTCCTGCCAGTAACCCTCCGTGTGATCTCCAGTTCTGTCCTTCTGTTCCTGTTCTAGTTGTTTGCTTAGTTTGTTTTTGTTTCTTAGTTTCAGTTGTTGATAGCTGTGAGTTTGTTGTCATTTCACTATTCATGGTTTTGATCTTCTTCTTTTTCTTAGATAGGTCCCTTTAACGTTTCATATAATAAGGGCTTGGTGATGATGAATTCCTTTAACTTGACCGTGTCTGGGAAGCACTTTATCTGCCCTTCCATTCTAAATGAGAGTTTTGCTGGATAGAGTACCCTTAGATGTAGGTTTTTGCCTTTCATAACTTTGAATACTTCTTTCCAACCCCTTCTTGACTGTAAGATTTCTTTTGAGAAATCAGCTGATAGTCTTATGAGAACTCCTTTGTAACTCTCTCCTTTTTCCTTGCTCCTTTTAAGATTCTCTCCTTATCTTTAATCTTGGGTAATGTAATTATGATGTGTCTTGGTGTGTTCCTCCTTGAGTCCAACTTCTTTGGGATTCTCTGAGCTTCCTGGGCTTGTATGTCTATTTCCTTGTATGCCAGAATAGGGAAGTTCTCCATTATTTTTTCAAATAAGTACTGAATTTCTTGCTCTTCCTCTTCTCCTTCTGGCACCCCTATGATTCAGATGTTGGAATGTTTAAAGCTGTCCCAGAGGTCCCTAAGCCTCTCCTCTCCTCATATTTTAAAAGTTCTTGTTTCTTCATTCTGTTCTAGTTGAATGTTATTTCTTCCTTTTGTTCCAAACTATTGATTTGAGTCCCAGTTTCCTTCCCTTCACTGTTGGCTCCCTGTATATTTTGTTTCATTTCACTTTGTATGACCTTCACTTCTTTCTTTTATTTTTGCGACCATACTTAATCATTTCTTTGAGCATCTTCATTCCCAGTGTTTTGAACTCTGCATCTGATAGGTTGGCTATCTCCTCATCACTTAGTTCTTTTTCTGTAGTTTTGATCTGTTTGTTTGTTTTTTTCATTTGGGCCATATTGCTTCATCTTAGCACACCTGTTATGTTGTAAGGGGCAGAGCCTGAACTATTCCCCACGTGGGTCAACCCACTTCATTGAGGCACTGTATGGGGGGAAGGGGTCAGAAGGGGAACAATACCACTTGCTTGGCTCTCACTCTGCTTCCAGTCACTTCCTCCACTCCCCACAAGTGACTTGGGCCCTTCTAGTACTGATTACCAGGTGTGTGTGTGTGTGTGTGTGTGTGTGTGTGTGTGTGTGTACATCCTAGCACTCTGTGGGTCCCTCCAGTGGACTCTCCTGTGAGACTGGGAGTTT